AATAAAAAGAAGCTAAAAAAAGATGTGATATTTTTATACAATGAAGTACTATTCAGCTATAAAGAAAGATAAACTTGAGGCCTTTATAGCAAATGGATCCAGCTAGAAGCTGTACTCACAAGCATGTAGATCAGACACGTATGTGTAAATATAATATTGTCTCTCAAGGGTAAGAACCTGAGCGAATGAACAAAACCTGAAAGTTATGACAGTTATGGTAAAATGGAACACAACTAAGCACAAGGAATAAATAATGAGGATGAGAGAAAAGAGAAAAGATAGGAAGAAAGGCATGGGGAAAATCATGCAAGTATACGTACAGCAGGGCTGTGGTGACTGTGGTAATAATTCCATGAGTTATTTGAAAATGGCAGTTAGAGTTTAGCGCTTTCTCCTTGCGTAACTCTGTGTGCTGATGCCTGCAGTCTAAGCAACTGCATCCAGGGCAGCAAAGTGGAAGACCAACACCAAGCTTGGATGCCTCTCATCTTGGTCTTCTAAAGGTGCACTGTTTCTAATAGCTTATCAGTTATCATTATACTCTATAATAATTTTTAAAAAGTAAAAAAGATGAAACAATTAAGGTTTATTGAAAGCAAGAGTTAACATTCACTTATTTGTCCAATCTTACATAACTGTATCTGTTAATGTGAGCAACTGACTTAGGAGATAAATAAGTAATATAACAACCAATGTTAATTTGCTATTCTTTTTTTGAAAATCTGTAACATATCTATTACATATGTTTCCCTATTTGTCTTTGTTTCTGCTTTTGTTTTTAGTCTTCAAATTAAAATTAAGTTAAATTTAAAAAAATAAAAAGAAATGTCAGAGTTTAACCAAACCTTCAAGAAATAGACCCAATGGACTGATCAGGCGCAGGCTGGGAGGCAGGGCTACAAAGATCTTAGGGAGCCAGAATTTTGTTAGGAAACTGACCTTGCAAAAATTGTGTTAGAAATGCAAAGCTAGGCTCTTAAAGGGAGCCTTCCATGGAAATCTGAGACGCCAAGCACGCCCAAGCCCTGAAAGGAGCATAAGGGAGGTGCTCAGAGAAACACTTAGGGCCGGTGGTCGCCTCCGTGAGGGGTGACTTCTGGGGTCCTAAGACCTCACTGTGTGCCACAGAGAGAAGGCTGACAGCTGGAAAACGCGCCGAACATTCTCTGTTTCACTCCTGCTCAGTCTATAGTACATGTCACCTCCTAACATCCATGTAATGTGTTATGCTGAATGGCTTTCTGACTAGAAATACTAATTACAGCAGTACAGGTATATTCAATGGATATATATATATATATATATATATATATATATATATAGTGAAGCAGTGCCTGCTTCATCAAATGGCCAACTATATATTTGAGGATCATTAGTGATAATTTTTAAATTTGTTAATTGACTTTCTTTCTTTCTTTCTTTCCTTCCTTCCTTCCTTCCTTCCTTCCTTCCTTCCTTCCTTCCTTCTTTTTAATACGGGGTCTACAGGGTCTCACTACACAGATCAGACTCATAGTGATCCTTCTGTTTTCAGCCTCCCAAGTGCTGAGGTTATAGGCGTGTTCCCCCATGTTCAGTATCAATCGCTGTCTCAGCATGCCCCAGGGGTGGGGCCAGCACAGCACTCCATGAACCCCAGTCTCTGCCCTTGCCTAAGCAGGCACTTTAATGTGCTGAGCTATCTGGCCAGCCTATTTTATTTATGTTAAAATCATGTACATTTATCTCAAAATTAATTGCAAATTTTTACATAGTTAGGTACCAGGCTTGAACCATTTCACATTAATTCTTATTTCTTAGTGTAGAGTTAAAAATCAACTTAATTTCACAAAGATATATCTATATCTCTATCTATCTATCTATCTATCTATCTATCTATCTATCTATCTATCTATCTACCTATCTATCTATCTACCTATCTGTCTCACAGTGTAAGAATTTGGTGATTGGCGCGGCGAGCTAGCCCAGTGGACTGAGCGCCTGCTTAGGCAAGCGCAGGGACTGGGTTCTATAGCACCTCATGCTGCACCTCTTGGCATGTGGAGACAGTCGCTGAGACCTGGCATGTCATTGCACGCCTGTAATCCCAGCCCTGGGGAGGCCGGGACAGGAAGATCCTGCCAGTGAGTGCTGCATAGTGAGACTCTGTACCATGTACATTTAAAAAAAGAAATTGATGATTTCATATGTTACAGTGAAAAGAAATTATGCTACTAAATTCATAGTCATATTGGAATATCAGTTATTTATCTTTGAAAATAATGTTTATGATAAGTTTGTATTTGATCCATTTATCTTATCCAAAATGAGTTCTCCCTGCGGCCCTGAATCTTTAGGTTACTAGTCTCTAGCCAGTAATAATTTCCCTAATTTGTAAACCTTGCAAAGTTCTTATGCTTGTTCTGCACATTGCGACTTAGATCAAGAGGCCGAAGTTTTCTGTTTCCATTACAGATGATGTCTTGTTAAGAAAACTGATTTCAATAGCCATTTCTCCTGAGATAACGTCACTTTGAAGTTTCTTGAATAACCTGCCACTACATTTCTCATTATTGGTGCTCAACAATTTATTTTGCCTGTGAAGAGTTTTACACGTTAATGTTGCAAAGATAGGTTTAGTTTTGATTCATGGAATTGGATGTGACAGTCCATTACTCATCCCAGGGGACACCCCGTGGAAAGTCCTTTTGAGGTTTAGCTTCTGTTCTTACGTGCACAGTGACTTCCTGGGGCAGTGTGCGTGAAGTTTGCTACAAAGGAGTGCAGACCTCATGGGGTAAGGTGGGCCACCTCATGAAGCCCTTGAATTCTTCACGTGCTTTACAGCTTCTGTTTCATTCTTCCTCCCTTGCCTCCTACCTCCACCCTGCTTCATTGATTCCTGGACTGCAAATTAGAGCATGAGGAGAATGCGAGAAAAGCAGAAAGAAGCCTAAAAATGGCAGAGTTGGGTTAAACTCTATCTCGTCTGTAAGGGAAATTGCAGACTACACAGTCTAGGGCATCTTAGCTCAGTCTCTCAGCCCTACATTTTTTCATTTGTAAGAGAGATCGTTTCTATATACCAATATCACATGTGAATTTAAATTGTGTGTGTGTGTGTGTGTGTGTGTGTGTGTGTGTGTGTGTAGTCTCTAACATACAGGAGATACTAAAAAATCTTAGTAGTATAAAGATTGGATTAAAATTAGTATAACAATTTGAGTGTACATTTAACCACCCTTTTCACTTAGTGTGGACAACAGTTTCTCTCTGGGGCAAGGTAAAGGCATGGGTCGTGTGGCCTCACTTAATCAGCGGACTGAGGATATAGCTCCATGGTTGGAAGCTTGCTTAGCATGGTTGAACTCGGTATTTTATTCCCAGAAATGCAAAATATAAGATTTAAATAATCAGGAATCATTTTTCTTTTTTTGTTTTTGCAGAACTAGGGATTGAACTCAGGCCTTAGCGCTTACCAGGCAAGCGCTTACTGTACTGAGCCATCTCCTTGGCCCCTGGAATCATTTTTCTAAATTAATTCTGAACTAGTTTTATTTAAATTACTTTTTCTAATGTTACTATCAAATAACAGAAATAAAACGGAGTGTATTCAAGGAGTATGTGATGATTTATTACAGAACACATATATGTGTTATAAAATTGATTACCACCATTAGTTTAATTAATATAACCAACAGTACACACTCTTGTATGTGACTGTGCTGTAAGAGCACTTAAGATCTACTCTTTTAGTAAATTTCAAGTAAACAAAACAAGTAACCATGAATGTACTGCACATGAGATGTCTGGGACTTACTCATCTTGTGATTAAAACTTTTAACCTCTAAAAATGACTTCCTCATTACTTGCTAGTACCATTCCCTTGGCCTTGACAACTTCCCTCCCACTCTCTGCCTCTAGGGATTTTCTTTTCTTTCTTTCTTTTTTCTTTTCTTCTTTCTTTCTTTCTTTCTTTCTTTCTTTCTTTCTTTTTTTTTTTTTTTTGCGGAACCAGGGATTGAACTCAGGTCCTTGCTCCTGCCAGGAAAGGGCTTATTCCACTGAGCCATCTTCCCGGCCCCTCTTTTTTTCTGTCTTATTATTTTGCTGTACTGGAGATTAAATTTAGGACATTCGCACAGAGCTACATCCCAAGTGCTTTTAAAATTGCTTAACCTTTTGTGCGTTTCATTTCGAGGCAGGGCTTAAAGCCCCCGGGTCTCGCGCCGTGCAGAGCTCGCGGCCCTGCACCTCTGCTCCCGAGCGAGCGGGGCTCGGCGTGCACCGGCCCAGCCGGGGCTCCGCCTTTCAGACGCCACAGGTAGGCGAGCTGTACCGCAGTTCAGCTCTTGCGTCCGGCTTACCTTGTGTCTGCCCGCCTGATCCACGTTGCCATAAATTCGCGTTGCCACCGGGATGTCCTCGTCACAAGGCTGACGAGGTTCCCGTTCTGCGTACCCCACTTCCCTGTTCCTTTGCTGACCGACGCTTACGTGGACTCCGCGTCCCGCTCAGTGTAAGTAACGTTCCAGTGAACGCGGGGGCAGACCTGTCTTTGACATATTGATTCATTTCCTTTGGACACACACTCAAAAGTGGCATTATTTTATAGTTCTACTTCTCATTTTCAGAGGAAGCTTCCTAATATTTTCTACAACATATGTGCCAAATTACATCCTCACTGCTAGGTAGTGAAGGCTCACTTTTCTTCACCCACCAATGTTCCTGCTTGCAAGCTCGTATCTTTTGTCTTTTTGACACCAGCCACCATAACAGCTCTAACATGTCACATGGGTGTTGCAGTTCTGGTTTTGGCTTTCATTTCTGTGACAACAATTAGTAGCGCTCAGTGTCTTTCTACGTGTACACCCTTTGCATGTCTTCTTGGGGACTTCTACTCAGGCCTTTTGCTCATTGTCTTTGTTTTCTGTTACTATAACATAGTACCTGAGACTGGGTGATTTGTAAAGATAGATTTATATCGGCTCAGAGCTCTAGATGTGGGGTAGGTGCTGCCGTTACCGCAGCTTCAGATGAAGCTGTGAATAGTTGTGGAAAGACAAATGGGTGCAGAACTGGACACAGACAGAGGACAAAAAGGGGGTTGGGGCCCTGCCCCCCTTCCCACGCTTGGGCTGTAACTCAGGCCTTGGCACCTAGCTGCATCTCCCTACTGTTATTTCTTCATTTTTGTTTTGACTCAGAATATCAATGAATTGCTTAGTTGTCCACTGCTGGCTAAAACCTACACTCGTCTGGCCTCGGTCTCCTGGGGTGGTGGCACTGCAGGCCGGGCCCTCCCAGGGCAGCTGGGAGTCGCCTCGCTTTAACATCGCCTGGTCGCCCAGTACTAAAAGCATTAATGCCCTCTTGAGGGCAGAGTGTCACAGTGATGCTCACCTCGCTGACATGGGCGATTAAGTTCCAATGTGAGTTTTCATGAGGACAAATCACATTCAAACTCTAGTGAGAATTTTAAGTTAGAAATTGAGTTATCTATTTTTAGTTCTATAAGTTTCTTATGTATTTTAACAGGTATAGGGTTTGTAATTTTTTTCTCCCTTTCTTTGTGCTACCCTTTCTTTCTTTCTTTCTTTCTTTCTTTCTTTCTTTCTTTCTTTCTTTCTTTCTTTTTTCTTTCTTTCTTTTTTGTACTTTAGGGAAGGATCTACAGGGCGTTCAGGGCCTCACTACTAGATTGAACTTGTAGTGATTCGCCTGTTCACAGCCTCCCAAGAGCTGGGATTACAGGTGCACCACCCCACCCAGTCTCAATTGCTGTCTCAGCGTGCCCCGGGAATCGAACCCTGGCCCCTGCGCCTGCTTGCAGGCTCTTAATCCGCTGAGCTGTTTGGTCTTTGTGCGTCTTCATTTGACTGTCGTCCTTGCTGCAGAGGCGCGTATAGTTTGACGCAGTCCCAGCTGTTTATTCTTGCCCTGATGACTGCATTTTGGTGTCCCAGCCAAGAAAATCATTCTAAACGAAAGTCAAGGAGAATTTTTCTTCTTAAAGGAATTTTATGGTTACAGAGGCTTATTTATTAATCAATTTCAAATTAACTTTTTAAATATAAGGGTTTAACCTCATTCCTTTGCATGTGAATATAACATTGTCTCTTGAAGGGACTGTTTTGTCCCAAATCTGTTTTTCTGGTACCACTAAGAAAGATTAATTTACTGCATGTCTTGTGGGGCTGTCCTTCCAAGCTAGGAATAAATCACATGTGATCATAGCATTTATTCATCTTATTTTATTGTTGTTTTAGGGATGTCTCTGTGGTTGGAGTCCATGTAACCTAAGTCAACAGACCCTCAATGTTTTGTTTTTCTCAAAGTGAGTTGAAGTAATCTACCTTCTTTTAGTTTTATTCCTTTTTGTCTCATTTATTTATTTCTTTGGTGTAGGATCTCACTACGCAGCTTGGACTCATGCTGATCCTCCCGTCTCAGCCTCCCCAATGCTGGGATTGCAGGTGTGCGCCACCACACCTGATTTCAGTGGCCAACATGGTGGGTAAGCATGCAGTGCCAGGGATTGAGTGCAGATCCTTGGTGTGTGCCAGGTGGGGCTTAGACTGCTGAGCTATCTCCCCAGCTCTTTAATGTTATTCTTAAAAAAGAGATGCAGTCCCTCTTCCTGCTTCTCAGCACTTAGTTACAAACTGTTAAATTGCCATCTATCATGTAACCAAACTTGATCACACGGAAAAAGCTGTCCTTGACTTTGAATGCTGCTTCGTACATTCATCAGCTCTGTGCTGAGCGGATAGTAGGAAGGCAAATGGCCTAAGACAAGCATTCTCCAGCACAGGGTGGACCCTGCACGGTGTTACGCTGTTGGCACACACTCAGAACACTCTTCTAATTCTGTGGCACAATATAAGATGCATTGCCAACATATCTGTGTGCACAATATTTGGAATAATTCAAATTTCTATAAACTAGATACTAAAGATTGTCTAGTTTAAATTCGATGGAGTGAGAGGTGAACTGCTCTATGACATCGGGTGTGGCAGCGGCACTTTTGCTGTGCACACACACGTCCATGCCACAGTCGGAAGCTACCTCCAGCGAGGCAGGCTCGGGCTGTTCAAGCTTCTCGTGGGCGTTTGCTTCACCAACCCTCAGCCGCGCTTCCACGCTGCTGCCTTTGGCCTGCACCTCCCACCGTGGGTTTTCTCTGTGTCTCTTTAGCAAGACGACTTTTCCTATGACTTCCATCCCATGAAACACAATAAGCATTTTGCATTGTTACATGTTTTATTAATCTTAAAATACTTTTTTTTCTGGGCATGGTGTACTTGCTACTGTTTAGTGTCTATTTAAAACATAAGCTCTGCTATAGTGGGCTACAACAGGGAGTGGGGAAAGTTCCTATAATGGAATCAGTTGGTACGTTCGTCACCTCATATAGTTAGTTTTGTTTTATAGCAAAAGAGTGAAAACTGCTCATTTAATTCTAACCCCAGACAGTACAGTTCTGTTACCTGTAACCTTCTGGCTGTGCGCTAGATTTTTAATGTTCAGTTTTTTGTTTCCTTTGCAAAATTACCCTCTTCCAGCAGACTGGAAGAGATTTTCCTGGGGGTTTAGACTTCATCCTAGGGCCTGTCTGCTTTTGAGGTCAAATCTTTTCTTAAAATTAATTTTATTGAGAAACAAATAGCAATGAGACAGTTTTAAAACCGATTAGTAGGATAGGGTCAATAATTAATACATTGCATGTTGTTGTATTCATAATACAAGATGCAGACATGATATCCTGTGCAAACACTATTAGTACAAATCTTTCTTCTCATTGAATTAAGGGAAAGTAGATGTATATCTATCTTAACTATTTTGTATATACAGATACAAAATGGCCCTTCATTTGGATCTCCTTTTTTTTGTTTAGTTTTGTCAGAGATAGATATTCCATTGCCCTTTAAACATTGTAGGTGGGTGAATTCAGCAAAATATTCCAATATAGTCCAGTAGTCCATAATAGTAGTGGGTTATCCATAGGACTGGCAATGTCAGAAGTTGTTGACTTGAGCCTTTTATAGCTTAGCATATAAATATGGCTTTACTTTTTATACCTTGTTTTTACACTTTTCAGCTAGATGGTTAAGACCAAGATAAAGCATGACCTATATAACAAGAAATGTTACTTTTGTATCTAATAAGGTCAGTCAAGTCCCCTCACGATTTATCCTGAGACCCTGTACCGCACTTTGTAGATCCCTTGTCAGTGTCAGCCATGTGGATGAGTCACGGCCGTTGCTTGGCCAATTTGCTCTCTTTGAGAGCCTGAGAGAATGTTTTCTCTCCATTTGACTCTCCTCAGGCACACCGTACATCACTGAGCCGGACAAATTTTGCACTGGAGAATCACTTTCTGGGCTCAGTGGCCCACTAATTTCCGGGGTGCGCAGGAAACTGACACATGTCATTCTCTTACTTTAAGGTGACATCGCCTCTTTATATTGTCGTGCTTCTCAGCGGCACCCCACAGCACTGATCAGAGTGGCTGTGAGCTCCGCCAGGGACCTCGCAGCAAGTTTCTGGACTTTATACTTTTTGATGCTTTCTTTAAAAAGTTCAGACATGGAAGCTTGAGTAAGGTTTTTGGGATCTAAATTTGATTTCCTTCCACTTTAACACTGTTAGCAATGTCTCCAAATCTCCCAATAAGATAAAAATACATTAAATAATATAAACTGAAAGGACTTGTTAAAAATGATAATTAACCCATGTCAGAAAATAGGAGTTTGGCTGTTGAATCTTCAGTCTGATATCTGACTCACTTTAAGACTGTCCCTTGGGCC